TTACAGGGTAGAAAAGAGTGCTTGTAGTCACTCACAGACCAGAACATGGGCCAGGAGAGCTGTAACCATACCTCTCCTTAGATGATACCACATTGGAAGAAGTGAGAGCTTGAAGAACTACAGAGCTAGTTCTGAAAAAAAAAACAGCATAAAAACATGAAGCTTGAGACAATGACCCTGCCATTCTTGGAGCAGAGTTCAACTTTAACATAAAATTAAAAGTCAAAAAGTAAGCTCGAAAAATGAACAAATCATAAAAATAACAACCTGATCACAGAAAGTTAGGTGCCATGTACCAAAAATTGGGAAAAGAAATAAGAGTGATAGACCTTTGGAGAAATGGGAATAGAAAGGAATATACCTTTTTCTCAGTAGTACATGGCACCTACACAAAAATTGATCATATGGTATGCCATAAATGCCTCAAAACCAAATGTAGAAGAGCAGTAATATTAAATGCATCTTTTTCAGATCATAATACAATAAAATTACATTAAATAAAGGTCCATGGAAACGTAGATTAAAAATTAATCAGAAACTAAATAATCTAAACCTAAAGAATAAGGGGGTCAAAGAACAAATTTAGAAACAATCAATAATTTCACTAAAGAGAATGACATCAATGAGACAATATACCAAAATTTGTGGGGCATAGGCAAAGCAGTACTTAGGGGGAAATGTTTATCTCTAAGTGTTTCTTTAATAAAATAGATCAATGAATTTGGAAAGCAACTAAAAAATACTAGAACAAATCTAAAAACCACAATTAAACACCAATTAAATCCCAAAATCAAAGGACAGATTAATATAATTAAAAGTAAGTAAACCATTGAACTAATAAATAAAACTAGGAGCTACTTTTATGGGAAAAAACAATAAAATAGATTAACCATTGGTTAATTTGATTTAAAAAGAGAAGATAAAACTAACTTACCAGTATCAAAAATGAAATCCGTGAATTCACTACCATTAAAGAGGAAATTAAAGTAATTATTAGGAGCTACTTTGCCCAATTATATGTCAATAAATCCAATAATCTAAGTGAAATGGATGAGTATTTACAAAAATACAAATTGCTCGCATTAAGGGTAGAGGAAATAGAATACTTAAATAACTCTGTCTTAGAAAAATAAATTGAACAAGACCTCAATGAGCTCCATAAGAAAAAATCCTCAGGACTAGATGAATTCACAACTGAATTCTACCAAACATTTAAAGAATAATTAATCCCAATACTATATAAGCTATTTGGAAAAAGTAGGCAAAGAAGTTCTACCAAAATTTTTATGACATAAATTTGGTGCTTTTACCTAATCCAGGAAAAGCAAAAACAGAGAAGGGAAAACTATGACTAAATGACTATAAATGCAAATTTTAAAATAAAATACTAGCAAGGAAATTACAGCAATATAGAACAAAGAGCATTTACTATGACCAGGTGGGATTTATACCAGAAATGCAGGGCTGGTTCAGTATTAAGAAAACTAGAAGTAACTATATGGACACAATTACAAAACACTTTTCACACGAGTCAGATCTAAACAATTAGAAAATTATTAATTTCCCATGGGTAGGTCAAGCCAATATAACAAAAATGACAGTTCTACCTTAAATTATTTCTTCCGTGCTATACCAAATTACCAAAAAATACTTTCTAGACCTACAAAAAATAATACAATTCATCTGGAAGAACAAAAGGTCAAGAATATCAAGGAAATCAATAAAAAGAAATGTAAATAAAGGTAACTTAGCCTTAGCAGATCTCAAACTGTATTATAAAATAGTAATCATCAAAACAATCTGGAAATGGCTAAGAAATAGAGCGGTGGATCAGAGGAATAGATTAGGTACACAATAGTAAATGACAATACTAATCTAGTGTTTGATAAACCCAAAGATCCTTTGGAACAAGGACTTTTGGAACAAGAACTCATTTTTTGACAAAAACTTCTGGAAAAACTGCAAAGCAGTTTGGCAGAAACTAGACATAGACCAAAATTTTGCACTGTAGAACAAGATAAGGTCAAAAGGGGTGCATTATTTAAACCTAAAGAGTGATATCATAGGCAAATTAGGGGAGAATAAAATAGTTTACTTGTCAGATCTATGGCTAAAGAAAGAACTTGTGACTGAAAAAGAGGTAGAGAACATTATGGGATGCAAAATGGACAAATTTTATTACATTACATTGAAAAGGTTTTGGGCAAGCAGAAAACTCAGGGGAAACTTCACAGCAAGTTTCTCAGACAAAGGCCTCATTTCTCAAATATATAGAGAACTGGGTTAAATTCATAAGAATACAAATCATTCCCCAATTGATAAATAGTCAAAAAATATGAACAGGCAGTTTTCAGATGAAGACATCAGAGCTATCTATATGAAAAATGTATAAAAAGTGTTCTCAATCACTATTGATTAGAGACATGCAAATTAAATAACTCTGGGGTACCACTTCATACCTAACAACTTGGCCAATATGACAGAAAAGGAAAATGACAAATGTAGGAAGGGATATGGGAAAACTGGCTCTCTAATGCACTGTTGATAGAGTTGTGATTGTGAACTGATTCAACCATTCTGGGAACTACACCCAAAGGGCAACTAGATTGTGCTTAACCTTTGATTCAGCAATACCACTATTAGGTCTATGTCCCAAAGATAAAGGAAAAGGACTTGTATATACAAAAAAATTTATAGCAGCCCTTTTCTGTGGGGCAAGTAATTAGAAATTGAGGGGATACCTATCAATTGGGGAATGGCTGAACAAATTGTGGTATATGATTGTGACAGAATACAATTGTGCTATAAGAAATGTTGAGCAGAGCACTTTCAGAAAAACCTGCAAAGATTTACATGAACTGATGCAAAGTGAAGTGAGCAGAACAAAGAAAACATTGTACACAGTAACGTCAATACTATTCAGTGACCAACTATGAATGACTTTGCTATTCTCAGTAATACAATAATCTATGACAATTTTTAAGGACTCATGATAAAAAATGCTATCCACCTCCACAGAAAGAACTGATAAGAATCTGAATGAAGATCAAAACATACTTTTTTAACTTTATTTTTCTTAGAGGCTTTTTGGTCTATGTTTTCTCTCACAACATGACTAATATGGTAATATGTTTCGCATGATTATACATTTATAACCTGTATCAAATTGCTTGCTTTCTCAAGAAGGGCTGGGGGTGAGAGAGAGGAAAAGAATTTGGAATTTAAAAAATTTTTTAAATAAATGTTTAAAAATTTTATATGTAATTGTAAAAATAAAATACTTTTTAAAATATAAAAATTAATTTTCTATTAGTTATTAGGGGTGGAGGGAGTATTTATTTGCCAAAGAGAAAGAGGGAAGGGAATGAGTATTTATTAAGCACCCATTATGTGCCAGGCACTGTGCTAAGCACTTATAAATATTATCTCTTTCGATCTGGAGCAGAATCCAGGAAAAGAGACAGAGAAGGAGCAGTCAGAAAGCATATGAAAATGGCCTTAAAGAAATAGTATATTATATAGTAAGAATGAAACACAAAAGCAGAATCTGAAGGGAAAGGGAGAAGAAATAACTTGACTATGACTCCAAGAAGAAGGCCTAAAGAACTCCATTATTGCATGTTGAACTTTTAGTTCCCTAAATTCCCAAGATCTCATTTCAGACAAACTTCTATTTCATCACCTCTCTCCCATCTTACCCTTGTGACGTTCATTTTTTTTAACCCCAAAGTAAAATTTTACAGATATCCTTATTTCATCTTACTAGAAACTTTTTGGATCCTGACTCTGCCATCACATATGTTAACTTCCCTTTTAGCTTTTTTTCAGTTTGGATCTGATTTAGATCTCTCAGCTTAAATAAATCAGGATTAAAAATGAAATTTATAAGTGAAATAAGAGTGCTAGAAGAAAGACTAAACAAAACAGAAGGCGGGAAACCTTACTGACTCAGTGAACTCTCTGAAAACAATAACTGAACAACCATAACTCAATGACTCCAGAAGACAACAAGAAAATGAACAAACTCAAAAGATTGAAAAATAGTAGAAATATCTACCATAAAAACCCTGGATGATTGGACAAAGAATATTTTGAGAATAATTGGACTCTTGGAAAAATACAACTAAGGAAATATTATCTCTTTTGATCCTCATAACAACTCTGGGAATTATCATCTCCATTATAATCTCCATCTCTATTATTATCTCCATTTTATAGTTGAAGAAACTGAGGCAAGCAGAAGCTAAGTGACTTTCCCAGGGTTACACAGCTAATCAAGAGTCTGATACCACATTTGAACTCAGTTCTTCAGGTCCATTGCTCTATCCACTGCATACTTCAAGGCCTAAAGAACTACATTATTGCATATTGAACTTTTAGTTCCCTAAACTCCCAAGATCTCATTTCAGACAAACTTGTATTTCATCACCTCTCTCCCATCTTACCCTTGTAAAGTTCATTTTTTTAACCCAAAAGTAAAATTTTACAATTATCCTTATTTCATCTTATTAGAAACTTTTTGGATCCTGACTCTGCCATCACATTTGTTAACTTTCCTTTTAGCTTTTTTTCAATTTGGATCTGATTTAGATCTCTCAGCTTAAAGATTCTTCTTAATCACTATATGTGCAACTGTTCAGTCTCATAATTCAAATGCCTTAGCTCTTGGCTACTGAGGTGGGACCTAAACTATCCCTTCCCACCTTTCATGTGTAGTGTTTCCTCAAATGGATTGTTACTATTCTCTTAATGAGTGGTATTCTCCAAGCTGACATCCATCACCTAACTTGCCACTTGACTGAGTAGAAACCACTTCTACTTAACCAGTACTTTGCTATACTCATTTAGCTAATTATTCATCAATCACATTGGTTCTATGATTCACAAGGGCCCAAACCTATGGGATCTGACCTTTGGCTTTAGAGCACAATAGAAACCAATAATAAATTTAACTATCTGAAATTAATCATAATCTACTTTAATTGGAGTGTTCTGCCAACGTGATGGGGATAAAATATTTGATTCTTTCTAGTTTCCATAGAAGCATTCTGGGGAACATATGCAAAAAAGATCATTTGAGATGTTGTGAGGTACTGCGGAGCTAATACAGTTTTAAAGTCCATATCTTCATTACTCTGGAAAGGGAAAAAAAAAAGAATGCCATTATTTTAAACATTCTCCCTTTTATATTTAAATATAAGTGAAAACAGTTGTTTGCATTTAATAATTACATAATGCTATAACTCAGAACAATTGTGCTTTCCTGAGTAACACCTGATGCCCCTTCTATTTAATATATTTTGTTTGATTCCCTTATGTGGGCAAGGGACTGTATATATCCTTGGTGTAAAGAAAAATTTTTTTTCTCCTTTCTTCCCATAATCACTTTTAAGACTGGGACTTTGAAAGTATGAGACCACAAGAAAAAAATTTGTTGAGCCTTCACTTACTGGTAACCCTCTATTTTCTATAACAACCTGATTGGGGAGGGTTGGGGTAGGAAGGATAGCTTTAAAAAGCATAAATATAAATTTCATGGAAGCAAAATGCTTCACTGCCTGAAGGATATTGGACACCATTCTTTTGTAGTCTTTTAAAGAAACTATCATGGAGTTCCTGGTGACTTTGCACAGCCTTCCCTCACTCAAATCCAATTCACTTTCATGTCATGGCATCACCTCCCTGATGTCATGGTCCTTTTTCAGAATGAAGGACAAACAGCATGGAGTGGCATGTTGAGATTATACACTTCCATGGGAAAAAGGAAATAGAAATTGGACTGTGATTTTGTTGTTACAGAGAACTACCAGAGGAAGAAAATCCATTTACCAGTGCAAGTTGGCACCTTCTCTATAGCTGAAAGTCTTATAACTTAAAGTTGCCTAGAACAGTGACTAGCCTAGGGTCACATGACCAGTATGTGTCAGAGGTAGTCCCTGAACCAAACAACTTTCATAGGTGGATCTAAGAAGTTGCCTTTCAACAAATCCATCGGACTTTATGTGACTATGGTTTTGGGAAGCACTGAATGAGGAACTGATTTTGTTGTGTAGTGTTTTTTTCAGTGATCTAACTAGAGAGTAGCAATTGCCCTGAGTGAATCAGGAGAGAGGACTCAGTACATATCTCGGGACTTAAAAGCTACTGTCTCTCTCATGGTGAGGCCTCAGAAGGGTCCTCCCCCTCCCTTCAGAGAAACCATGCTTTCCCTGTCTCTGATTCTTGGTGTAAACCCTTTTTCCCCAAAGTCAACAAATGTATTCACCCCCATGTTTCTTACCGAGGAACTTCTCTAGTTGCCAGCTACCCCAAATACCTCTCCTTTTCAATCCTGATGCTTTGCTTTTTATCTCATTGCTGCTCTAATCCAGTGTTTCATTTTTGCCTGGCTAGCTTTGGGGACTGGAGGAAGGGGAGGAAAAATAGTGGAAGCTGGTCCCAGCAGATATCTTTAAACTGAGATCTTCCCCCGGAACTCTATGTGTAAGTCTAGGGAGAAAGCAGGATGCAGACTGAATGGGGGCATACTAAAAGAAAAGTGTTCTCCAATACTGTCTGCCCTTATCTGTTCACAACCTGGTCCCAAAGTGTCCTCCCAGCTTCATTATTCTCCTGCCCACCCTTAGTAGTCCAGTCAGCCAAACTGGCCTTCTTTCTGTTCTTCACACATAACACTCCCTTTCCAATCTCCGTGCTTTGAAGCAGCTATCGTCTGGGCCTTAGAATGTATTCCCTACTCAAGAAACATCTCAAGCACCACCTTCTACATGAAGCCTTTTTTGATCCCCCTCCCAACTAAGAGTGAAGTGACTCCCTACATACCTTAAAACTATTTTATATTTACATGTATGTATGTATATATGTATATTTCATATTTATATAAAATATGGAATCCAGGTGGTACAATGGATAGAATACTGGGCTTGGAATAAGGAAGAACTGAGTTCAAATCTCACTTCAGGCACTTATTAGCCAGATGACCTTAAGCAAGTCACACTACTCTTGTCAGTCTTGGTTTTCTCCTCTGTAAAATGAGGACAACCATACCTACCTCCATGGATTGTGAGGATAAAATGAGGTAATATTTGTAAAGTGCTTTGCAAACCTTAGAATGCCAAATAAATGTAATTCTTATTATATGTACATATCTTCCATATGTCTATTATATATACATTCAAGATTTGTCAGAGTACAGATCATTCTCACTGTCCCAGGAATCCTAGGGATTTCATTCTTTGTATTTAATCCCAGCACAGTGTCAGGCACATAAGAAGTGCTTAATAAATAAATATTTGTTGATTTGTTGATCGAATGACTTAGCTGTCTTCCATTTTCTTAAACATTAGAGTCCTAGGGGAAAATGGAAATGTAAGAGGCAAGAGGAATGAAGTTAGGAAAAGACAGTGGCTTGGGAGGTGGTGGGGTCGGGTAAGTTAATTTTTCAACTTAGAAAGATTTCTGGAGATGGATAAAATACTAGATCCTGTCTCCAAAGGGAGCACCATGTGGCCTCCTACAAAACATACTAGAGGACTGGGACAGTGCAATTGGATCTGTATCATTAAGGTGGGTGATGAGAACATTGTGTGCACTGGGCCACACATGTATTCTGGTTGCACATGTGTATCTAATAGTGGAGTGTTGAAGAGGTTAAAGTGTGTGCAATTGTTGGAACTTATCCAGGTATTAAAACCAAATATCAAAAAGTTTGATATCATATTCAGTATTCTATGCCTATAATACCCCAACTCTGAAAAAAAAAGGTGAGGAACTTCACCCTTTTCTTTGGGATCAAGTTTGGTCATTATCATTTCATAGCATTCAGTTTCTATTTTTATTTTATTTCCATTTACACAGCTGTAGTTGTGTGAATGGAAATTGGAACATTGGAGAATGGAATCTTGTTTTCCTATTTCTGCACTGCTCATTTTGCAGAGTTCAGATATGCCTCTCCACGTTTCTTTGATTCATCATGCTCATAGTTTCTTACAGTACAATTAATATTCCATCACATTCATGAGCTACATCTTTAGCCATTCCCCACTTGACAGAGATTTGCATTCTTTTCTGTTTTTTACTACTCCTAAAAATGTTTCTATAAATGTTTTTTATATATGGAACTAGGATTTTCTTTTGCCATTGCCTTCTTAGGGACATATGCCTATCAGTGGAATCTATAGGTCAAAGACTATGGACATGTTAGTCATTTTTTTTGCATAATTGTAAATTCCCTTCTGCTAAACCAATTTATAGCTCCACCCAAAAATGCAACATGTTTTCTTTCTTTTCTACATCTCAACAACATTCCTCTTGTCATCTTTGCCAAATTACTTGGCATTGAGGTGCAACCACAGGTTTGTTTTGATTTGCATTTCTCTTACTGCTGGTGATTTGGAACATCACCTTATATCTGCATAAGAGTCTGCATACTTCAAACTTCCCTCACCTACCATTTCAGGCAGGTAAGTTGAGTTTGATGTGTTTGATTAGGCTTATCTTCAGCTCTATAGTCTTGAATACCCATGGACCTTTTTTTAAATACTTTGCCCCCAAAAATCCATTTGATTCTAGACTGCTAAGTGCTGACTTTCATGATTGATGTACTAGATTATCATTAAAGGCCATTCAGCAATGGGTATATAATTTAGGTTAAAATGCTTGTGCTTGAAAATAGTACATCATCTACCTATAAGGGAGATGATAGTCCCGTGATTCTGTGCTTAATTCATATTTTTAAAATATTTTACACATTATCAACACATATATATCACTGACCTGTAAAACTGTTTCATTATCAAATATAGAATACAAGTCTATACAATCCTGAGTCATCTCGCTCATAGAAACTAAAGCTTCAGTGCCCACATGGTCATAGTATAACTCAAAAATGGGTAGTTTGCTTTTACCCATTTTGGAATAAAATTTTAGTCCTGTTGGAAAGAAAATATTTTTAAAAGTATTTCAAAATTCAACCTTTTACCTGGGCATGGGCAAATACTTTCTTAAATTTGACTGGGATAAGTTATCACTCTGACCCCCTGGGTAACTCTTCTTGTTAGGCTTCCAACAGTGTTTGGTTTGGGCTTACATAACTGGTAACATAACTTATCCAGCTGACTTCCAATGGAAGAATGAATTTTGATGAGTGTGGTATGACTATATCCCAGGAGAATGAAATCTCTGGCTAACACCTTCTTGCCTAGTCTCTGTGCTTTATTTTCCACCTAAGGGATCCCTTTTGTCATATTGATCCTAGACTCATCATATCTTCTAGACTAGATAATCATAAGTACTACCCCTAGTCATGGAGAATTGCTAACTCTTAGGAGTGTTATTTCACTCCTCTGGGCTAATCCTTAAAAAGAAGGAAAGGACTAGAAGATCTCAAAGGATTCTCTGGAATGCAATATTTTGCTGCCCCCTAGCTATTTGGGCTAAATGCTGTCCTGTTGCTCCAGTAATTTCATATACACATTTTTTTTTCAGTTCTGTGTCTACCTATCTCTCTCCAGCCATTTCTTCATCATGTTTCCTCTAATCTAGTCAGTCACTTTCTTCCCTGACAAAAAACCTTGGACTCAACCTCTGGGACACTGGGGCTTAAGAGATGAGCTTTTACCTTCTGGGCCTCCATGACACTTCATGCTATCCACATCATGCTATCTCTCTAGCTCTCCTACATTTGTTCTCCCTCCCCCTTTATAATGCAAATACCTTGAAGCCAGGGAATGTCTTGCTTTCTTGCATTTGTATCACCAACATTTAACACAGCAACTTGCATGGAGTAAGAACTTAATAATTATTTTATATTTCTGTCAATATCACTGTCTTCTAGGCCAGTGGTCTCCAAATTTTTTAATTCCTATTGGGATTTTATAGTCTTAGAGAGTTGTATAAAGTATTAAAAACTTAAGTGACTTGTCCATGGTTACATAACCAGTATGTATCAAAGGTGGGGCTTGAACCCAAGTTTTTTCTGGCTTCAAGGCCAGCTTTCTATCCACTGATCTGTGCCAAGTACATTATAAAACATACAAAATGAATATTTCTTAAAATGATATTTTCATTTCACTTCATTTCATTAAAATGAAACAATTTAAAATAATTTGTTTTATTTATTGAGTCAAAATCCTTTTTGCTCTTACTAAAAATTATCAACATTTTAGTGGAAACAATGAGTTTGAAAATCCATTATTATTTTTAAAAATATTTCCTTAATACTACACTGTGGGTTTAAGTTCAGTTTATTCTGATACTGGGTTTTTATGGCCATCAGCTCAAAAAGATGCTTTGTGAATGTGAAGAAGCATCGGTATTAAGCTTACTCAATCAGCACACTAATTGTTCAGGCCAATCCCCTAATTATGGAAAGGTTTCTGCTGAAATTTGGTTTCTAAAATTCTATCTTCCATGATGTCATCAGTTGCTTTTGCAAATACATTGAATACATTATTTTTAATTTTCAAAAACCAATGAAACTTCATTAGAAAGATTTTTAGATAGCTGGTTGTTTTGTCAATTAGTCATGATTGACTCTGTGACCCCAATTTGAGTTTTTCTTGGCAAAGTGGAGTCATTTGCCATTTCCTTTTCCAGGTCATTTTACAGATGAGGAAACTGAGGCAAACAGGATTAAGTGACTTGCCTAGGGTCCAATTAATAAGTGTCTGAGGCCATGTTGGAACTATGACTCCAGGGCCAGCACTCTATCTACTGTGCCACCTAGCTGCCCCTTTAAGTAGCTTAGAAAATGTTGTTTCCAACTTTGTTATGGGTGACACTCTTAATTTTCAGCCACAAAACTTTCATTTTTAAATGTCTTGCTTTGTGGTGATATGATATCACTGAAGGCACTATATAAAATTTTTGATGAAATTCATTTTTAATGTAATATTTCAAATAATCTTCTTGATAATTTTGACTAGGGGAGGAGGACATATATTTGTCAATTCTTATTAGATCATTGTTTTTACCTTAGAATATAACTGATAAGCACTGCCTAGTAGAAGTTTTAGCCTTCCACTTCCTTGTTTACATTTTCCACCTTAGTGTCCCTTCTGAGTTAGCCAAGTTTTTCTTTGAGTCATGGGTCCAGTCCCCAAAAGATTGCTAATCTGAGATCTAGGGTAACTATTCTTCCATAGGTAGCTATTTTTAACACTGTAGTTCATAAGATCCCCAGTGGTGTGCTTCCCATTAATAATCAGGCAAAAGATGCAATTAGTTCAAAGCAAGGATATTTAGTGTGATAGCATAATAACAATAGTAGCTACAAAGTATTTTCCTCATAAAGCTGAAGCATATTCTCTCACAAACAAAGTATCCATCAGGAAGGAGTGTCATTTATAGAACATAAGTGATAGTAAGGTGCACATATAAAGAATACATGTTGTCAAGACAACTCAAAACTCCAAAACTCAAAACTCCAAAACTGTGGGGAGGCAGGGTAGGTAAGAATGGTTGGGACAGTAGAACCAGAGATAAGATAGACTTAGGACTGGATTATAGTGATGTCATGTGAAATCAACCCACTTTACTCAGAACACAAAAGGAGTCTGGTCACATGACACTGCTTTCACTAAATATTAAATATTGCTTTCTTCATAAATGGATATTTTTGAAGGTGAGGCCCTGCAGAAGAAAAAAAAAAGATGATCTAGGTGCAGGGCAGGGGAGGGCAGGGAGAGAGAGAGATACCAACACAAAAACAAAGAAATGGAAAGGACCATCAAAAAACAATCTAAAGTGAATGCTGCAAAATTACAAATGGTAAGAAGAGAAAGGAACAAGAATTCATTAAGGTTTGGAGCTTAATTAAACAAATTTGGAGCTTCCTAAATTTTATATTTATGAAGGAAAGAAAGAATAAAGGGAAAGAATGGGTGTAGCTCTTAAATTAGAATGTGATAGGCGCAACATTTACCATACTTAGGCTAGGTTAGGTTTTGTTTTTCCTTAAAAGGCTTGATAACATCATCAAAACTTGATTGGATCAAGGGACAAATGCTGGAATAAATTAAAAAATAAATAAACATTTATTAAGTTTTTACTGTGTGCTAGGCACCATGCTAAGCCCTGGAATCATCAACATAGATTCCTGAAGGACCACACTTTTCCGACTTGTTGGCCTCTGTGGCAAATTCTGGATGACATGCAATTAGAGGGATATTCATTATTCATTGTTCTTCCTTTGACCATGCAAGGATAAGAAAAATAATAATTCTACCTGAGTTAACATAGAGTTAATGTTATACCAAATTAACAATAAGGTATTTTATGAAACTAGACAAAGATGAAATTCATTTGGAGGAAAATGGTCTAAAATTTGAAAGTGAATATATTTTTAAAAAGGGGAGGGGGAGGACAGTAGCACTTCCAAACCTCAAATTATATTAGAAAGTGGTAATTGGCAGGGAGAAGCCAAGATGGCAGAGAAAAGGTAGGCACTCACCTGGGCTGTCCCCCAAATACTTCCAAACACCTGTAAATAATGCCATAAAACAATTGCTGGAGCAATAGAACACACAAAAGGATGGGGTGAAATAATTTTTCATCCAAAGACAACATAGAAGATCAGCAGGAAAGGTCTCTTACACCAGGGTGAGAGTGGATCTCAGTCCAGCCCAGGCTACAACAGCACAGACCCAGCCCCAGCAAACCAGGAGCAGGCTTAGGGAGCCACTGAATCAGTAACGGCAGCAGCTGATTCCAGAGTTCTCAGCCCATAGAGAGAAAGGGGGTCAAACAAGTGATCAGAAGCAGATTGCAGGGTTATCTTTGCTAGCACTGAGGCAGTACTCTGTTGTTTTGCCTGTACTTGGATCTGTGTTGCAGTCCTGGGTGGCAGCCTCAGGGTGAGGAAGAGCACTAGCATACCAGAGCTTGTGACCACAGTGGAGGAGAGACCCTTGTCACAGTTCCAGAGCAGAAAAGAGTGCTTGTGGTCACTCACAGACCAGAGCACAGGCCAGGAGAGGAGTAAACACCTCTCCTTAGACAACATCACCTTGGAAGAAACTTACAGGTTCCTAGAAGTATCTCTGAAATGAGCTACACAAAAACCATGAAACTTGGGACAGTATACCTCCTAAAAGAGATCCCAAAAGGAAAACTCCCAGGAATATTATAGTCAAATTCCAGAGCTCCCAGGTCAAGCAGAAAATATTGCAAGCAGTCAGAAAGAAACAATTCAAGTATTGTGGAACCACAATCAGGATAACACAAGATTTAGCAGCTTCTACATTAAAGGATCTCAGGACTTGGAATATAATATCCCAAGATCAAATGAGCTAGGATTAAAACCAAGAATCACCTACCCAGCAAAACTCACTATAATCAATGAGGGGGAAAACTGGCATTCAATGAAGCAGAGGAATTGAATGCATTCTTGAGAAAAAACCAGAGCTAAACAGAAAATTTGACTTTCAAATATAAGACTCAAGAGAAGCATAAAAAGGTAAACAGGAGAGAGAAATTGCAAGAGACTTATTAAAGTTTCACTACCTCATACCTATTAGATTAGATAATAGGATAGAAAAAGTAAATGACAAATGTTGGAGGGGATGTGGGAAAATGAGACAATAATGTACTGTTGTTGGAGTTGTGAATTGTTTAAACCATTCTGTAGAGCCATTTGGAACTATGCCTAAAGGGCTACATAACCATGCATAGCCTTTGACATAGCAATACCACTACTAAGTCTATATCCCAAAAGAGAAAAAAAAAGGGAAAGAACATATACATACGAAAATATTTATAGCAGATCTTTTCTGCAGATAAAGAAATAGAAATCAAGGGGATGCATATCAATCACGGAATGGCTGAATAAGTTGTGGTATGTAATTATGATGGGATATTGTTGTAATATGAGAAATGATGAGCAGGATGCTCTCAGAAGAACCTAGAAAGACTTACATGGGCTGATGTAAAA